TCTCTCTCTCTCTCTCTCTCTCTCTCTCTCTCTCTCTCTCTCTCTCTCTCTCTCTCTCTCTCTCTCCCCCCCATCGAAAAGCTTAGTAAAGAGTAATATGCCTCCAAAGCATATTTTCTTGTTTTACTGAAAAAAAAATTGTTTTGAATGAAAAAACTGACAAAAAGAAATCTTGGCGAATCGAAATAATTTTTAAAGATAATTTTTAAGCGTTGTAATTCCAACAATGTGACTTGCGACGTCAAAATTAAGCAACACACTCGTAATTAGAGGTGGGAAATCTAAAAATGAAATTGATCTATACCGTGCTACGCCAATCGAAGGAGAGGCGCAGCTTGCACGCAGCGGCATTATGCAAACGACCCGCGACGCACAGCTGTTCATTGTAATCCAGCGTACGATTAGAAAGATGTCTTGTTAACCGGGTTAGCGTGACGCGAGTGTGTTTACGACTTTTTTATCGTCCTCGGGTTAGCAAATTAATGTCCGTCGTGAATTCGCGGCAGTAGTATCGGTCGTTCATCGATTCCATTTCGTCGGGTCATTCGGCTTGAACCGAGCAATTGTAACAATGAACACACGCACGCACATCCAGCAATTATATCGCAATTTAATCGCTCTTATCTCGTTCATCGTCGAACTCTGATCAAACCAACGATAAGACCACCATCGTAATAATTAATCGCGAACGTCTCGACGACAAACTAGACTCGTTTTTCAGCGTATTTCAGCAGAGACATTTTTTCTTAACGTTTGTATAATTTTTTTGTTTTTTTAACTACAGTTTCTTACATCGCAATTGCATTTTGATTTTATTGAATTCGAAATATTTGCTTATTTTATGTATCTGTTTTTTTTTTTTTGTCGCGTATCAACATATGAAGATTCTTATAAATTTGTAATATGTATTGATGAAATTAGCTTGCAGGATTGTGGCAGGAGCCATGACAAGAAATCGATGATCTGATACATCAAGTGCCTACGACATTTCGCTTAATATCCTGTCCCGAAAGGACGATTGGGTGGATTCGATTCGGGTGAATCATGTCGTCGTCGAGGCCCAGACGACCTAGCGTATCGATCTACGATTATCCGGAACATCTGAATCCGTTCAAGGATGATACGACAAATTCTCAACCGCAGATGCATCACGAGGGTAAATCGTCGAAGGAGTCTAAACATAAATTCTGGACGTTCGGCAGGAGAGATCGAAAGAAAAGATCGAACAGCTTCTCGATCAAATCGACCTGGTGGGTATTTTTAAATCGGTACTTTTGGCCGATTCGCAATCTCCTTGTGACGTATCAATAAAATACACTCGACTGCGTCAAGTTTTTTTCTCTTCGTGGCTTTTACGACTTACAATTCTTCCAGAGTAACGAAACAATTAGTTATCCGTGCGCCATCATGTGCGCATACACACACACACACACACACACACGCGCGCGCGCGCGCGCATAATTACACATTGCACTACGCGAAAGCCATGCTACATTTTTTCAGAAAATCATCGCTCGTGTGGATATTTTCGCACTATGCACGTGAATTAAAAAAAATACTTTCATGAAAAATAACGAGTTCTGGTCTGATTAACAATCGGAATAACCGACCTAATCAGAGCTGCGCGTAGAAATCGAAGAGTCCGCGCCGCCGAGCGTCGTCATCGAATCGAAAGTTGAATTAACACACGTTGCGAGTACGTAGAATAGCGAATGCAAGTGCACTTGAAATTATCGGCCGTGATCGTCGACAAAGTGGAAGTGATATTAAGCGGAATGAGGATGTGTATAATAAGGATGTTTAAATGCAAATGT